CTCACCTCCCGTCCACAGACCTAGACAGCCGTGTGGGTGCCATGGTGGGCTACGAGTCCGACGAACCACGCGTCTACGCCGTGTCTGCCGACGGTATGCATTACATGACCTCTGCAGACGGCGTCGTCTGGGAGACCGGGGTGCCGGATGACGTCACGGAGGCCAAGACCAAGGCCACCTTCTCGTCGGCGCTGGAGGTGACCCATAGATTTATACTTATACTAGGTTCTAGACATTACGTTTTCACAGGAGATACCTCTCTGAGATGACCCATAGATTTACACTTATTATACTAGGTTCTAGGCATTAGGTTTTCAAAGGAGATAACTGAAGGAGATGACCCATAGATTTACACTTATACTAGGTTCTAAGCACTAGGTTTTAATAATTATAGATAGCATTTATTGTATAGCGCATATCCCCACTCAACAGCAAGCTCTATGCGCTTTGCAATCTGCACTATTACCCCAGCATACCTGAGAGCATTCTGAAACAACCACAACTTCCTGGGATGCATACAGTGAAAGTAGCCATTTATAGGCACTGAAACACTAACATACTGACAAGATCTTTCGCTGTTTATAGCTGGGTACCCTTTTCCGCGTGGGTGAAGTGAGGAACATTCGTGTCAAATGTCTTTCCCAAGGACACAACGTCGGGCCCGCGGCTCGAACCCCCGACCCCGCAACCTCACAATTACGAGTCCGGTAGCCTAACCACTAGGTCTCAGAGGTAAAATTAACAAGAACATTATGGTCGCCCAAGTTTGGTGACTCCCAAAGCTTGATTATCCTTGTAAACTGCAGATTTTCATTTTTGTGCCTTTGACTAACGTTTTTCAGTAAATTCCTCTCGGAAATGAGTTTTTAAATGGTTATAAAAGGTGAGAGTGAGAGGCAGAGAGAGAGAGAGAGAGAGAGAGAGAGAGAGACTGATATATATATCTTTGGCAACTTGGAAACACATGTGTCACTTTTCCCTTAAAACCACGACAATTACAGAGTTAAAAGTTGGCAAGTACCTGCAAAAAAGATAGATATGTCCCCATGGCGGATCCCGATTTTTTATTTATTCATTTCCTGAATTTAGACAAATGTATTTGGCCTTTGTGATTATTCCACTGAGAAACGAAACAATCTGCGTAGCTGTCCTTCACAACGGAAGTGCCAAAAGTGATATTTCGCCGGGCGCATTTTGTTTTGAGAGTAGAGATCTAGACTTTCTAATTTTTTGCATCTCTCAAGATTTAATGCTCCATTCCAGTAGAGTGTAAATATAGCAGACCAATGACTTTCAGTTGATGTTAGTGCACCGATCATTCTTGTCATGGAAATGGAGCCCAGCTATAGTATTCTATTATATCTTACAATTCTCTGGTTTTCCCACCAGGTCCCCGTGGATGGAAACCCAGACCTGGACGGAACTCCCAAGCCAGCCTTCACACAGGCCAACTATGCAGGTCAGTGGGTATCATGCTAGTTTGTCACAGGCCCAGTTTGGCAAAGGCCCAGTTCGTCACACATACCCAGTTTGGCACAGGCCCAGTTTGTCACACAGGCCCATTTTGTCATACATGCCCAGTTTGTCACAGGCCCAGTTTGTCACACAGGCCCATTTTGTCATACATGCCCAGTTTGTCACAGGCCCAGTTTGTCACACATGCCCAGTTTGTCACAGGCCCAGTTTGTCACACATGCCCAGTTTGTCATAGGCCTCGACTGTGCCCTGCATGGTGGAAGTTATCACTGACGCTCTCAAAGAGAGTAAATTAATGATTGGTTGATTGTATGAATTGAACTTTAGTTTTCAATTGTTTTTTAACGAAAGAACATTCATAGTCGAAATTTTACAAAGTAATGTGCTTTGATTTGCATACAAAAAGGAAGAAATATCGAACAACACAAGCTGAATTTACATTTTAGAGGAACCATCTCTACACCACCAATTTGAAGATGGAGAATAAAAAACTTAAGTTACAACTACAGTGTAAAAGTGCTGTAATTATGACTATCATCAATACTCAAATACTTAAATGAAATTGTGACAAACTGGGCCTGTGACACACAGGCTAACTTTGGAGGTCAGTGACCCTTGGGGAGAGCCTCAACTCCCTAAAGACGCCGTATCTATCCGGAGACGTCTCCGGTGGAGATAGACCAATTAAAATGCTTTGTGCCCCTTCAAAAGAGTAAAAACATGAAAATTAAGATTACAATTAAGATTGAAATTAACATAATATGAAACTGAAGAGCTTACAAGAATGGCATAATGATACTATGCAGGTATCAAACTCAAAGTTCACCTAGTACATTTAATAAATTTTATGCTTTTGAAATATTTTTTTTATTCACGTCCTTCTCTATACTTTTTAAAGGGGGGGGGAGGGGGGGCTACTCCCCCAAAGTCAAAATTCGGCTCAAAATCATGGAATATGAGTTGTAGGCATTTTTAGCTTCCTCAGCCTCTCCTACAACTATTTCATTGCATTAGAACCACCCAAAAAAACGTATTTTTACCTACCGGGCATGTTTGTAACCGCCATTTCCTCATAAAGTCAGTATTTTATTTTTTTATATCGGCCGTTTTCTCAAAACGCGACTTTTCTCTATATTTTTTTGAATAACTCCACTATTTTTCATCCAATCCTCATGAAATTTTCACAGAATGAAGAGAAGAGGTAATACTAAAAATTGTTTGTTGATTTTTTTATATATGGAATAGATTTTTGTTGGTGGAATCTGGAGTGTGGATTTTCACGGATTTTTCGCAAACTTGAATGCTACCTCAGGAAAAAATCCTTTAAAAGTGTTCTAATTCGTTTAGGCAAAAAACAACAGACAGCATTTTAGATCTAATGTTTGTTAACACGCATGCAAAAAACTATCAGTTTCCATCAGCGATAAGTGCGGTATTCATTACGTAAAACATGTCAATAAAATCCATTATGGCGGCGTATCCATGGAAACGAAACTTTTTTTCTCTAATTTGATTGCGAATTTTAAGACTCCTTACTATGCTTGTTATATGTGTGAAATGTGGTAAAATTGGGTCCAGTAATAAGCGAGATAGCCCTCAGGTGTAGCCCCCTCCCCCTTAATCACATCAAGGAACGTTCACATATACATGTATTATCAAAATTGTAAAATTAAAATTAAAATTAACATATTTCTATGAAACTGAAGAGCTCACAAGGATGACACTATAAAACGGTCGTTAAAACGCGCAGCGCAATCTTAAGATTGCACTAATCGGTAATTAGCGCGGACACGTATCTCTGTACCTTGGTCTGTGTCCTGTGACGTTGTGTCCATCTCAGCTAGAGGTGGGCAAAATCTCAATAAATATCCGAATAATCGGATAATCCTCAATAAAACATGATCCGAATTCAGACTCTTAACTCTCTTTCCTGACCCGTTTGCCGAAGTTGGTGCACCCATTTGTTGAAGAGATGCTAACTCGTTTGTCGAAGTGGTTCTAAACCATTTGCCGAAGCGGTTTATAACATATTGTTTACCGAAGAGGTGCACTAATATATTATCCGGATTTTGCTAAAGGGACTCAGTGCCCAGCACTACTCTCAGCCCTGTTTGGCGCTGACTGGCAGGGGCAATGCCCGCTTCCTAAATTATTTGAATTTTGTAGATAGATGCGCAGATTCGCGAACATTTAGACCCAATGGGTCGCTCTTGAGGACAAGCGGGTGAACCCAGATTTCGGCGGTTTCCATAAATCTAGACCTACACCAAAAGTGGGAATTGCCCTACCTATAGGAGAAGTTTGATTTCATTGGTGTGTATATTTGTTTGGTTAAAGAGAGAACTATCCTTGTATTCTAAAGAAACTGAACAAGGGGCACAAATTTTACCTTAAATTTTCTCAAAACAGAACTTTCAGGATAGCCCCCTTGTGCTTAAAAGCGACCAAGTAGGAGACTCACTACTTTAATCCTACCAGGACACCCAGGTCGTCTTCTCTTTAATCGTCATCATCTTTATCATCTTCTACACCACATACCTGCTTTAACTCATCTTTTCCTTCCTTCCTTCCTTACAAATTCTTCCTTCCTTCCTTCCTTCCTTCCTTCCTTCCTTCCTTTCTTTCTTCCTTCCTTCCTTCCTCCCCTCCTTCCTTCCTTTATTTCTTCCTTCCTTCCTTTATTTCTTCCTTCATTTCTCCCTTCCTTCCTTCCTTCCTTCCTTCCTTCATTTCTCCCTTCCTTCCTTCATTTTTCCCTCCCTTCCTTCCTCCCTTCCTTCATTTCTCCCTTCCCTCCATCCTCCCCCCCAGCCACCAGCGTGGGACTCAAGAACTTCAACTCTGTCACCTGGGACAATGTCTTCAACTGGAGCACCTGCTGTCCCTAGACAAGATGGCGGTTGGTTGCCATGGTGCCGGATAGAGCTAGGCGAGGAATCGATCTCGGAACCGATTCTCACGATTAATGCTACGATAGAAAAGTTCCGACTCCTTTTTACATAGACCAACGGTTGCCAGTTTCTTTAATCATTAACATGTTCTTTTGATTTTACAATTTATCTCTGAAAAATAAACGTTGATGCTTTGTAGTGTTCCGAAATCAAGGTTGCCCTAAATCCTGAAGATGTTCGGAGCCAACAAGGTAACCACCGGAAGAAATCACATCATTAGAAAGTGAGTAATTGGGTTTGGAGCCGATTCCTACGATTCCTAGCTTTGAATAATCGGGGACCTGGAGCCCAGCACTAGTGCCGGAACACAAGCACCGTTTATTTTATTGATAGTTGCCAGGTTACGCTCTTGTGACCATCCCTACAGACTCTATCTTTATACTGATCAGCTCCTTTATATTACAGTTATGAATATAATTATTGTTGTTATAATATTGATCGATCGGTCGTTCGTTTCACTTCTTAAACTGTTTTATGTGGAGCCAATCGCAAGCTACTGTATTATCTGTACTGTTGAACGTTGACTGTTTGCAACTAAACGGGGAAAATGCAATACAATCTGAAAAGAACCGAACAAACAGATATTATGTTTTGACATCTTGTCTTGAGAAATAAGCTGTCTCGTTTTTAAAGAAAATTCTTTTTTTTTTTTGGTGTTATATATACC